TCCCATTGGGATCACGCACAATTCTTTTAGCACAAGTAATATCATCGGTGATGTCATCATTTATGAAAGCTGCCAAAAGAGCAAATTAGAATTTATCCAATTCCAGATGTTTCAAAGGTATTTCCAAAGATTTCCATAAACTTATTGTTTAAAACAGATTCTTGCCCAGCTGGTGTAGACCATGAAATGCCTTTTCTCCTGCTCTGCACATGGAGAGTAACAAGTTTGAAAAATGTAGAGTACTAAGAGTTTGTTTCTGCTCTAGACTGAAAATGTTGGATATGAAGGCATCCCCACAACATTATTGCATTCTTGGAAAGGAGCCAGAGAGGAAATATCTCACTTAAACTCGTAAATTCTGACAATGGGCAGAAAACACTGGATTGAGCATAGCTGGCTAGAGAATTCTGGGATTGAAGCCCACAAGTCTGAAAGTTGCCAAGTTTGGGGACCCCTGCTTTAGCAAGATATTAATTATTGTGAAGATAGGATCATGTGGCTCCTTTATAAGCAACACTTTTCATTGTACAACATGGAGAGCAGGTTTAGTCTAGTGGTTAAATCTCCAGGCTACAAACCAGGAGACTGTGAACTCTAATCTCACCTTGGGCCAGTCTCTTCCTCTCAGTCCAACTCACTTCACAGAGTTAAGTTTGTTTCAAGGAAAATAGGAGGAGGAGAAAGACTGAGTGCGAGGTATGTGTGCTGCCTTGAGTTGTTTATAAAAGTAATAAAAGTGAAGAAATCTTTAAAGCACTGAAGAGAGTGTGAGATAGTTAATGTGAAAGGGACAGGGGGACTTCACCACATAGAAGTCTTTTGCTCTTTAGATAATACTGTGGTGGATGTTCTGGGGACAGAAATGGAGATATATCTGTGTGGAGGAATTTAGAGTAGTTGTGACAAGTTGGGTAGCAGGACATTAAACAGAAAAAGGCCAAGAGGCCAACAGAAAACAGAGTGGCTAGATGTTATCACTGTTGAGCCAAGCAGGAACTCAAAACAATTTTTATAGACAGTGTTGATGAGCCCATATCAATCCTATCCATCTGAAACACAGCAAGGAGTATAGGCATATTATCCCATTGTGTCATAGAACATAATAGCAACAGAATTTTGGAAGCCTGTCAGACTTACCACTGCAAGGCTTATTACAGCCATTAGCTGTGGGACCCTGGTAATTGTTGCACCACCAACGGCTGCTTATCTGGAAAATCCCATATTCACGATTGCCATTTGAAGTTTGTGGCCCCACAAATCTGCTGTTGTATCTGCTCTGATAATAAGCCATACATATCCCTGGAAGAAAACAAATGGGGAATGGGCTATAAAAGATCTGTGCTGTAAATGAAAAAGCCATCCTGATATTTTTTTTTAAATAGAACATTTAGAACATAATGCTTAACTATCTTCTCATTCTTCCCTCAATCAAGGAAGGACTCAAAAAGTCCAATATATTTTGGAAACCTTCAGGGAATTTGGAATAAATCTGATTCTGTCTCCAAAATATACCTGGAGTTCTTAATGGCCAAAAAGCCACCTCCCCTTCTTCCTAATTTGAGCCTTCCTGGGACGAGATACATTTTCATTGTACATCTTTTGGCAATCTGCACATGTAGAAAATCTTCTATGATGGCGCCTTCAATCGTATACTAAATTTAAATGACTTAGTGGAATTTGAAAGATCTTACCTTTGAGAGGATGTTTATCCTGGTAGGGATAATAACCCTTATTCTTAAGAGAGTAAATACAATATTGTCTAAGCCATAAGTGTAAAAAAAAAACTACACGGAGACCAGGATGGCATAACCATATCTCAGTTCTGCAATTGTCCCAATCAGGCAACAAATTGGAAATCTACTATCTTGATAAAAATAAGGGTGTTAGTCCTGGGAGAAGCTATCTCTAATCATTTGGGATGGGAAGAAAGCATATCTTCTCATTCTAAGAAGATTCAAAAGATTCATTAGGAAGGTTGATTGAACTAATTCTTGAAAGATTTGCCCCATTTTGGATCCCCCTCGCAAACCTGGAACTTGCTCAGGTGGAGAAAAAAATTGAGTAAACTCACAGTTGCCCAACTTGTAGCCACGATATCCATCCATGCCATTTCGCCTCAGAATTGAAACCAGTTGACATCTGGAGAACACTTTGGCTTCATTGGCTGCAATAAAGAGGAAGAGGACGGAGAGCACTATTGCCTTCATTGCTGCGGCTCCTTGGAGGACGATGTCTGACTTTGCCAGGACAGCTACAGGATTTTATAGTCACAGCTTGAGAAACTGGCACCTCTGGAGAGGTGGTAAACAAGGTATGTAGCAATAATTCCCCTATCTGAGATTAATATCAACTGATAAGCAGGGAGTGCTGAGGGCAACGATCAAGGAGAAATAATAATTACCACTTTCAATTTTATCAGAAGCCAAAACAAAAAAATAGTGGACAGCATTAAAAATGCTTGACAGATATTGGCTCAATGAACAAGTGCTGGTTTCAACGGTGTGATTGAAGCCACAAGCTTTTTTATGCGCCTCACATTTGATGCATGTGAAAAAGGGAGAGGGCTTTTATTGTGTGGTGATTGCCGCCTTCTTGACTTTTCAGACCTCCACCCCGTAGACATTCCTCTCTCTCTGGGGAACTCAACATGTAGTTGAGGTTTCTGTTTGTTTCAATACAACTCTGGATTCGGTATATATTTTTTGGTCTGATTAAGTTTGTGGAGTAATGCAACATATTGAAATCACCCAGTGAACAGTATTTTATTTCTTGGTTTTATTGCTGTTTTACCCTTCTTACATGTGTCAAGTCATCATCAACTCTCTGTGACCACATAATTTTTTCCATGATCTGAAATTGCTGAATTCTATAACTGGATTCTGTGAATAATTCACAGTATAAGTCACTGCACTCTACATAGGCTGTCCTGGAAGGCTACCCAGAATCTACATATAGTCCAGAAATAGGGAGCAGAGGCAGGGATGGACGTAAGTCAGTTGCTGTTAGAAATTCTGTATAAAGCCCCACAGACCTAATGGTGCACAGTCCACATGTGCTTTTCTGCTTAGCTGTGACAAAAAGCAAGAAGCATTTTATTCAGAGAAAAGACATCGAGTATACCATAGATGCAATTACAAATTTATAAACATTGTCATGTACTGGTTGGAGAATATCTCTCTCTGCTGCTGTATTATTTCAACTCCTTCCCTCAACATGACGCTATAGAGCACTGCACACCAGAATAACTAGACACAAGGACAATTTTTCCTGAACACCATCATTCTGCTAAACAAATAATTCCCTCAACACTGTCCAACTATTTACAAAGTCTGCACTACTATTACTGTTAATCTTCTCATCACTCCTTATCACCCATCCCGTCCCACTTGTTACTGTATGACTGTAACTTTGTCGCTTGTATCCTTACAATTTATATTGACTGTTTTCTAGTATGATTTGATTGCTTATTGTACCCTATGACTATTATTAAGTGTTGTACCTTATGATTCTTGACTCTTGATGAATGTATCTTTTCTTTTATGTATACTGAGAGCATTTGCACCAAGGCAAATTCCTTGTATTTAGTATTTTTTTTTAGTATTTATTTGATTTGTCAATCGCTTACAAGATACAGGTGTAAGAATAAGTATAGTTTTGAATACATGAGATAGATACTTATAAGAGAAATAAAAAACAATAGGACAGGGACGGTAGGCACGATTGGTGTGCTTATGCATGCCCCCTACAGACCTCTTAGGAAGGGGGTGAGGTCAATAGTAGACAGTCTAAGGTTAAAGTTTTTGGGGTTTGGGGAAGAAACCACAGAGTCAGGTAGAGTATTCCAAACATTGACCACTCTGTTGCTGAAGTCGTATTTTCTGCAGTCAAGTTTGATGCGGTTAACCTTGAGGTTGTATCTATTGTGTGCTCTTGTGTTGTTATGATTAAAGCTGAAGTATTCATTTGCAGATAGGACATTGTAATGTATGATTTTATATACTATATTTAGATCGGACCAGAGGCGGCATAGTTCTAAGGTTTCTAGGTCTAGAGTTTCAAGTCTGGTGGCATAAGGTATTCTGCAATGAGTAGAGGAGCGCAGAACTCTTCTTATGAAATATTTCTGGACTTTTTCAATTGTGTTAATATCAGATACAAGATATGGGTTCCAGACTGATGAGCTGTATTCAAGTATAGGTCTAGCAAATGTTTTGTATGCTTTAGTTAGTAGTGTGATATTACCAGAGAAGAAGCTACATAGGATTAGATTAACAACTCTTAATGCCTTTTTGGCTATGTAGTTACAGTGGGCTCTAGCACTTAGATCATTTAAGAAGTAGGCACATATTCTGTCCGGTCCAATAGATAGGGATGGTTTTAGATTGCGCAGTGCTTTTTAAACAATGTCTTCTGTAAAATTAATATGTATTAGATCATTGTAGTTGTCTGTGGTTCGACGAGGAAGTACTGGGCTTGATCCATTGCTGTTTACAAATACTGAGCCAAAGAATGTGTTAAAGAGGTTGGCTTTGATGGTGTCATCATTGCAGTCTTTGCCATTAGGTCCTTTCAGGGGTGGGATGGACTTTGAGTCTTTTAGTTTGTTGTTTACAAAATTGTAGAAAGCACGGGTGGAATTTGTCCATAGAAGGTTTTCCTCTTGTTTAATGTGATAACTGGTGCAATCAGTCTTTATCTGCTGGCATAAATGTTTGTATCAGCTTTTGAAGTTGGCAACGTAACCAGACTTGTTTTTTCACCAAAGTGATCGCTTTTTGCATTGAAGCTTCCTTATTGTTATGGGTAATCTGTTTTTCCTGGTTTTGGGAGTTGTTATTGGTACATATAGTTTGATGGTTTTTTTGATTTATAGGAAGCATATGTTGTAATGGTCTTCAACAGTATTGCATCCAGTGAATAGAAATTACCAATCAAGGGAAGAGAGATAGTTAATTATAAGATCATAGTTGCCTTTTTTGAAGTTATAATTGGGGATTTTTTGAAGTTTTAATTGGTGATTTTCAGTATTGGTCTAGGAAATGTTTTGTATGCTCTAGTAATTAGTGTAATATTACCAGAGAAAAAGCTATGTAAGATTAGGTTAACAACTCTTAACACCTTTTTGGCTATGTACAGTAGTTACAGTGGGCTCTAGCACTTAGGTCATTTGAGATGAGTACTCCAAGATCCTTGACAGAGTTCACTGTTCAGATAAACATACTCTGTTCAGGTAAACATACGCAGAAAACCGCAAACAGAAGATGGAAAAAAGCTAATGGCAGTTCCTGGCTAACTTGGAAAATATTAAGCAAGGTTTCTCCTGCAAAACCTCCCAATCTGTAATAATTTTATCCAGAAAGAATCCACACTCCTTTTTGAGATCTCACTCGAGGGGATTTGCAGCACTGGATTCTACTGAGAACCGAGGGTCAAGCTATTCTGTATTTGAAGGATCCAACATAAGGAGGATTCAGTTTTTTTTAATTTCAGGAGGATCTAGATAGGTTTTCAATCATAATTTCCCACAGCCACTTGGTGGGCCATTTTGTTCCCAAAGTCCTCCAAGGCCATGCCTCAAAAATAAAGAGCTTTGTCACAAATGTGAGTTATGAAGATACCTGATGTACCAATAAATGTACTTTGTTATGGATGTTTCGTGGAATTATCTATCTGCATCTGCATAGCCACAAATCCACCTCTGTGCCATGAGACAGGACAGAAAAAACATTGTCTTCTGTAAAATCGATATGTATTAGATCATTGTAGATGTCTGTGGTTTGACTAGGAAATACTGGGTATGATCCATTGCTGTTTACAAATACTGAGCCAAAGAATGTGTTAAAGAGGTTGGCTTTAATGGTGTCATCATTACAGTCTTTACCATTAGGTCCTTTCAGGGGTGGGATGGACTTTGAGTCTTTTAGTTTGTTGTTTACAAAATTGTAGAAAGCACGGGTGGAATTTGTCCATAGAAGGTTTTCCTCTTGTTTAATGTGATAATTGGTGCAATCAGTCTTTATCTGGTGGCATAAATGTTTGTATCAGCTTTTGAAGTTGGCAACATAACCAGACTTGTTTTTTCATCAAAGTGATCGCTTTTTGGATTGAAGCTTCCTTATTGTTATGGGTAATCTGTTTTTCCTGGTTTTGGGAGTTTTTATTGGTACATATAGTTTGATGGTTTTTTTGATTTATAGTAAGGATATGTTGTAATGGTCTTCAACAGTATTGCATCCAGTGAATAGAAATTACCAATCAAGGGAAGAGAGATAGTTAATTATAAGATCATAGTTGCCTTTTTTGAAGTTATAATTGGGGATTTTGTCATTGTGATGATTTTTGTGTGGACGTATGTTGAGACAAAAGTCAATCATGTTGTGGTCACTGTTGGAAAAGGTTCTTTAATTTGTATTCCATAAATTGAAATCAAACTATTGCAGAAGATGAGATTGAGGCAATTGTTAAGCCTAGTATTGTTGGTTACTAGTTGTTCCAGTCCCAGATTTGTTACAGCATTGTAGAAGGTTGCATGTATGGGTTCAGTTGTACATTCATTTAGGGTCCAGTTAATATGATGTAGATTGAAGTCACCAAGAAAGATAAAAGCATGTGGGCAGGATGATGCCCATGTTAGTAGTGTATTTAGCTTGTTTACATGTTCGATGTAATTATCAGGGGCTCTGTAACATAGTAAGAACTGAAATGTGATATTTAAGGTCAGTTCACAGATAATGGTCTCAGGAAAAGCAAGCTCTTGGGTAACTTGGATGGTTTTTAGATGTAAGGACTTTTTATAGAAGATAGCAACACTACCTCCTCTAAGGATTTCACGATCGGATCAGTAAACGTGATAGTCTCTTACTGAGGTAATGGAGTCAGGGAGAGATGCGTTGAGCCATGTTTCACAGACAAATATGATGTCAAATTTAGCCATATTTAGTAAGAGGACAAATTCAGGTATTTTATTTACAAGGCTTCTTGCATTGAGTAGCTTGCATTTACGGCCAGTTGTAGATTGAATTGAGGTAGTTACGGGTGTGCATGCCTAGTCTTGGGTGATGGTGGATTGGTTGAAGAAGGTTTGGATGCTGAGTTGTGGGTTGTGTGACTTTCTTTTGATACAGTCTGCACGGTAATCAATGTACAGATCCTTCTCTCCATTGTCTAGATGATTTTTGAGTTCTGTGCGTAATATACGGGAGCAGGAACATTGCTGTAAGGTTAGGTCAGGAC